CAAAAAGAGAAAAACTCAACATCTTCTACAATACCACATGTTCCGTGGTACCAGACGAAACAAAAGCTTGAAAGCCTTTTTTGAGATGAGCCCCCGAAAGCAAATCCAAGTGAGCGTGGTACCGACTATGAGTAGCAATGTCAACCAGACGGTGTGTTTCTTTTCTCAACGTGCTTATAAAATAACGCGTCTTTCCTTTCTTGAATTTTTCAAGGACACCTACTCACAGGATTTGGGTATGATACATGCACGACCTAAAGACACTTTTGTGAAGTTTCAATTCACTTTTTTTATTGTCTTATTTATACTACTTTTCTACGAGGGAATAGTGCTTGGGAACACCCTGTAGAGGTGTGCCGTCTATGCATTTCCTTTTTTCTGCTGGTGAATTAGACTCGCGTCATGTAGCAATTATTCAAGAATTTGTATTTTAATTTATTCTCAGCATTAAAGGTATAGAAAATGACTCACTTTATGCAAGGTAACAATATTAAAGAATAGAAGTTTCTATTTGAATTCTGAGAATTACCGGTTCCTAGGTATACGTAAAGGTTAACTATAACAACTTTGACTTTTTTTGGCCAGTTGTCACCCAACATGGGGACCTCCTAAAAGCAGGGTTCGGCAGAGATACTCCAAAAAGTACTGAGATACATTTATCTTTTATGCAACGGGATATCCCTGAGATACTTCTGTAGAAATGGCAAAAAAGAATTCCGGAATAAAGATACAGGTATACTTATAGAAATACATTTGTTCCCGAACGGTGCAACGTGGGGAGGGTGTAGTTCGTGGCGAGTGCAAATGGTAATGTATGCTTGTGCTCCTCTTTTTGTGTCATTTTATGTACTTCCCCCTGTCCCGAACTGTTTATTTATCATTAATGCCGCTGAAAGAAACGAATAAAAACATGTGAGCCCCGGTGAACCACATAGTTACTGAATGGTAAAGACTGCGTTCCTTGCTTGACAAAAGGTGTCTGCACGAAATTAATTCTTTTTTGCCGTGAAGGCGCATCTCAAACTGTCGTCTTATATACTTTTGAGTCTGCCATAATGTGGGAAGATTAGACAACAGAGCCGTACCTTTTCTCCACTGAACTCCTCCACTGTGTTCGCTCTACAGTGGAGCTCTGTGTTAGAGGAACTTATTCTGTAATTCTTGGAAGCAGCCTTCTTTAAACCATCTTTTCTTTTTGAATGTTCGTGACTGTGATATGTAATTGTGTTACACTTAAAAAAAAAAAGGGTATCACCTTACACCCTTTTGTCCCATATAATACACCCCAACACTTCATTTCGACGTACATCGCCCTATAGTCGAACAGGCGGCGCCAAATTTTACGAGGGGCTTGATAACGGTGCGCTATAACTTTTTAAATAGCTAAAGTACGTATCAAAGACAACAAAAAGAAAACACCGAGTTTTTGCTGTAGGGCCAAAAAAACACCGATTAATTTTTTTGTAGTCAGTAACACGTACATTAGCTATTTTAATAAGTTGTACCGGCTATCAAGCCCCTCGTAAAACTTGGGGCCGTCTGTTCGACTATAGGGCGCTGTGCGTCGAATTGAAGTTTTGGGGTGTATTATATAACTTATATGGGTCAAAGAGTGTAACAATACAACCGTTTACACCTTTTTTTAGAGTGTATAGGGCGGCTTCAAGTGATAAATTCTGAAGCACCTTGCACCACACACGTTTTCATCTTTTACATTTATTGTAAAAAACGACAACAAATGTAACGACACACCTATAAGTCTGGCAAAGTATCGCGATACAAGCGATACATTGTAAATGTATTTCACTATTGAGATACAAATACATTTTTCAAATGTATCTTGATACAGAGATTCAAATACTCGATAGTATCTCTAAGATACTATTGTGATGCATTTGTACCGCGATACTGCCCATCCCTGCCTAAAAGTACGCGAGAGCCTGTAAGTCATTATACATAGCCAGCTCCGGACGATATCAAACTTCCTCCTCACCTTTTTCACGGCACTTGAGTGAGTGAGAAAGGAGTATGAAGGGGTCGGGTGGTGTATGTTAACAACCTGACTCGTGAACTGTTCTTCCTATAACATAACTTGTAAAATACACGTAATTTTGTTTTCTATCTCAATTTTAAACTTTTAATAGTGTCACGAATGATAGATAATGAGGCGAGGAATGAACAGAAACTAAACGTTTATTTGGGCGAACTTGTGCCCAAAACAAAAATACGAAGAGGTAGCGTCGCAGGCGTCAAAGGTTGGCGGAGTAGCACGATCGAGCGCAAGAGCGAGACTGACTCCGCACCGCCACGCGGAGCATCTTTTGTACCAGCGTGGGTTTCTGGAACATTGGGCGTAGAACGTTCGGTACGTAGAACAGCGGTAACTCGATCAGACGACAAGGTTCTCGAACTTACGAGAACGTCAAGTTGAAAGTATAAACAAAAGAGTAATCCGCTTCCTGGAATCGAGACTGGAACCACCGCGCGATAGCCAAGCATGGTAACCATTCGGCCAAGCACGTGCTCGCTTGGCTACGCGCGTGGCATTACTCCCCCCTCTTAAAAGCGCATCGCGTCGATTGAACGTGCCAGGAAACAAAACAGAAAAACAAACAAAAAGAATGTCAAACTATGGAGGCTTGTAAAACACTGTCCTATCGAGCATAGTCCTATCGAACGTAGTACCGCTTGAAGCGCACGACGTGGACGACTTCCGGTCGTGGAGGGCGACGTGGTGAAGTCCGTGCGGCGTGCTCCGTCGGGCATCACCTCGTACTTCAGGTTCCCGAGTTGACGAAGCACCTTCTAGGGTTCAAAGTACCGTTTTAACAGCCTCTCGTGGAGACTGGTGGAGAATAGGTGTCCACACCCACAATCTGTCTCCGGGCTGAACGCGAACGTCGCGACGTCGAAGGTTGTAACGGCCAGCGTCGACATGTTGCTGGTCTTGAATCCGGAGTCGGGCCGAGCTGGTGGACATAAACATACACAGAGCCCAATTTTTTAACCGCAGTACCTAGGAGAGGGATTTAAACCACATGACTGGCTCGGTAGGGATACAGTGTACTAGAAGTACACTGTTGTAGGGATGCGGGGAAACATGGCGGTGCCCCGGTGAGTGAGCGCCGCTCGCTTCGGAACTAATATGTCGTTGTAGCTGCAATATCGGGCGCGTTAGTCAGCAACCAATGGTACAGGAGGCTTTCGCTTTGCCTTATCTCACTTAAATTGCAAAGCATGAGCAATGACCTCGCCGCGTTTTTTAGATAGACTTTCGATTCTGGCCATTCCTAAGCCTAAATGAACGCGATTATTGTCGGCATGGCAACCTCTTTGGAAAATGAATTGCCTTGACTCAATCGGCCAGGTAATGATAGCACACAAAAGCAGACCTCTCAATTTCCCAAGCACCGAGGTGCATGCTACGAGTGTAGTTGCACGCGTTGCATGTGCTGGCGTATGCAGTAGTAATTGTCCTAAAGCAAAAAGTCTAAAACAAATTTGGCCTTGCACGCGCGTTGGTTAAAGCCTTATTATGATTACTTAGTTCGAATCTTTTATAAGAGGAAGGCTAGCGCGCGTAGACCGTAGATTTACACTTCCAACGTTCTTCTCGGTGCTGGGGAAATTTAGAAAACGGTCTACTAGGACGCTGTCTGCTTTTGTGCGCTATCAATACCCGGCCGATTGAGTCAAGGAAATCCACTTTCCAATGACGTTGCCATGCCGACAATTATCGCGTTCATTTAGGCTTAGAAATGGCCAGAATCAAAATACTATTTAAACATGCGGAAAGGTCATTGCTCATGCTTTACGATTTAAGTGAGTTAAGGCCAAGCGAAAGGCTCCTGCACCATTTATTGTTGACTAACGCGCCCAATATTGCAGCTACAACAACATATTAGTTCCAAAGCGAACGGCGCTCACTCACCGGGGCGCCACTATGTTTCCCTGCATCCCTACCGAGCCAGTCACGTGATTTCAAAATCCCTCTCCTAGGTGCTGCGGCTAACTTTAGCCGCGGTTAGCGCTTCGAGCAACCGGGCCCAGGTAAGCATAAAGTACTCCTCAAAACGAATCAAACCTACAGATATATTAAACAAGAGCGTAGAGTCCCTTCGTCCTTTCTCCATAACCCCCCCCCCCCCCCCCCCCCTCACACACACACACACCCCGCCTTCCATTAGCCTTCGACTTTACGGGGGTGGGATATCTGGCTCCCGCACTCAAATGAGTTTGAGACCGGGGAGGAGGGGGGGGGGGGGGGGTGTTGAAGTAGCGTAAGCCCCCCTGGTTACTCCACTGCCACTGCCTATACCAGTGAATACATACTTTTGGATTCAATTGATTTTGTTTGCCATGCTGTTTTTTCTTTTTCTGGCCCGAGAATACTTGGATAGTAATTCAGTATTTGAATTGGTGCGAATTAATTTTGTTAATTTAAATTGTAACTTGTTACTTTATAATATTGTCGCCTCTCGCTTCTATTTTGGAGTGGAAACAGGACTAACTCATTTCTTCCAAACGAAAAAAAAAAAAAAGGATCTAACTCGCCAAGAACGACATTGGGTCAAAGTAAAATTTAACCGAGGCAGTTGTTTTTCAGGCTGTCATAGACATTGTTTACTCACATTTTTGTTAAAAGTTGCAGATCCCCAGTGGTCAAAGTTAATAAGCCCAAAAACGTCCTAGCAGTTGTAACGGTTCGCGATGAAAAAGCAGAGGCGGTATAGTTGCACAGGTGTTTTGCCTCCGCTCATTCGTAGGCCAAAAGAGCACCGTGCAGATGGATTTGGCTCCTGGCCTTCCTCTTCGTGGCGGTCGCGGTTGGCTGGAGCGTCGTCGTTCAATTCCGAGACTCGAGGTTCCGGGGCAAAGTGCAGAAGAGGTCGAGCCTCGGACTACACCGACACTCCTACCCCTCGCAGCGCAATTACGCAGGAGATCCGGCATCTTACGAGTTTGCTCTGCAGCCGCCCGACAATTTATGCCTAGGCACGATGGCCGCCGGAACGTCGAACGAAGATGCCTTCATCGTGGTCGTTCACTCGGCTCCCCACCACTTCCGCTTGCGGGCCACCATCCGGGAGACGTGGGCCAGAGACGCCAGGTTCCCGCTGTCCGACGGACGCCGGGCCGTGGTCGTGTTTGTGATGGGGAAGCCCGCCGTGTCGCCCAACTATTACGAGTTTCAAATCAAAATTGCCAGCGAAGCCGCTGTCCACAAGGACATTGTTCAGGGTACGTTTACTGGGTCCTACACCTCAGTCACGCTCCTCAACATCCTGATGCTCAAGTGGGCTTCGCTGTCGTGTCCTCAAGCCAGCTATCTGGTGAAGGTGGCGGACGACACATTCGTCAACATGAAGTACATGAGAGACGTTTTTCAGGATGTAGTGTTCAAAACTTCAGTCATTTACGCTCACGTGTACAGAAAGCCGTCCGTCTGGAACGGACACAAGCTAAACGTCATCAAGGAAACAATTTGCGTGAGTTGTGGCTATGCAGTAAGCATGGACGTTGTCCCAAGACTGTTCAGCTTGTCCATCCACGGCTCGTTGAGCAGCATGGAGGGCCTGTTTTGGAACGCTTCGCAAGACCGGATGTCTCCGGTCAGTGTCATCAATATGCGGGGGTTTTCGTCATTACGCGGTGGCAAAGCGACAGGCTGCGACATGAGGAAGGCCATCACTAGTCACCAGCTTGAAGTGGAGGACATGCTCAGGTTATGGAAGGATCTTCAGAACAAGACAGAACATTGCAATGTGTCGCAATCCCCGTTCAATCTAATCTGAATAATCTATACTCTAGACTGTAGCGTATATATATGATACGCTATGCCGACATGTGACATCCAAAACCCCAGACAATCCTGGCGCACGCAAGCTTTTTTTAATGTTTGGCCTCTATCCACGAGTTCGTCTGCCACTTCGGAAAAAAGTGTTTTGTGAAAAGGTCACAGATACAGCGATGTATTGCCCTGCATGGCGGCAAGTAAGAATATTATTAAAAGCAAACAAATGCAGTGAAGACATAATAAAGATTATGCAAAAATATAAATTGAGATTTCACTTCATTTTAGGCATTCGGGATACACAAAGAAATAATGCATTTTCAAATGCGTAGTGTACAAATCTTCTAATCTCATAGCTCCGACATTGAACAACTAAGTGGGGAATTAACGTTTTGTGAACACTGAATACCTCCTATTCATTACACAGAATCGCGTCTTAATTACATAGTTTGTCTCAGTCTTCGATAGCTAAAACGTCAAGCCAGCCCCAAATTTTATCAATAGCACTTCGGCATATGCCACGGGTATCTGCTTGATTACCACGGTACCTGGAAACTACAGGGACGCGTCTTCAACTGGTGTACTTTATACTGTCCCATCCTGCACGTGCACCGAAAATGGCCCCGATCGTGGCAACGAATTGTGTTACTGGAGCCGGTGGGTCATGCTGTCGGATGTGACAATCCTGACGGTTGGTTGCAGGATGAATGCTGGCGAAGAAGGCGAGGGTAGATTTCGTCGCGGCGTTCCTTCAGAGAGCATAGATTGGAGAGAGGAAACGTCTTAAACAACGGAAAGCGTTTTGCAACTTAATGGCGGACGAACTCCTGCGCAGACTGGATGCATTTGCACTTGGGTTCAGGGTTCGAGTGGTGAGAAGGGCAGTGGGGTCGGAGAGAATAAGAAAGGCAAAGACGCTTGCAGGCACCTCCTCATAAGCTGTGTCGCAAACGCGATCTATGAACCACCTGACTCGGATCAAGCAGTGGGAAACACTCTTAAATCTAGGCACACATAGACCAGAATTTTCAACGTTTTAGCGCGTGGCCATATTGTAGAGAGCCTCAAGTGTTCAACTCAAACCATGGAGAGCGTCTGCAATGCATGATGGCAGCGTTAGAGATGGCGGATTATACCCCTTCTTGCGTGTAAAAAATACTGATCCGATTGGAGCAAAAAGTGGTGTCTAAAGGAAGGTTTTTTTTTTTTTGTTCTTCGCCTAAAATATTCAAGCATCTCCAGGGCTGTTTATAGCCTGAGTTATGTTGAAAAACCACCCGCATTCCCATAGACACACAGCAAAATTTTGCAATTTAATGGCACCCACAAACACGCACCCCGGTCGAGCAGTTGATCACACTCTTACTTGGGTCTCTCTACCATATTGTGTGGTGAGCCTAAAGTAAGAGTGTGTTCAACTGCTCGCCCGGGGTACGTGTTTATGGCCGCCATTCGATTGAGAAATTTAATGGCGCCCATCGCGTGTCAGAGGCTTAAAGGGCCTCTGACACGCCAAAAAAATTCAAAGAGCCCGCCAGTGCCCTGTGACGTAGCAGTGTACCGCAAGGCGTCGGGGCGGTCAGTAGGGAGGCATCGACCTACGTCACTAAATTGTGTTTGCCGGAAGTCACTTGATTTTCACTCCTCCTGCTCCCCACGACGTGCCTAAGACTTTTAGAGCGCAGCTCTTAGGGGCCGTTCCCGGCTTGAGCGGCGTCGGCGTCGGCGTCGGCGTCGGCGTAACCGCAACTCTCGTAACCCTCGTGAGGGTTACGAGGGTTAATCTCATGAGGGTTACCCTCACGAGGATCACGAGGGCCACGAGGGTTACTTACCCTCGTAACCCTCACGAGGGTTACGAGGGTTAGTTACCCTCAAAAGGGTTACCTTCACGAGGGTTACTTACCCTCGTAACCCTCACGAGGGTTACGAGGGTTAGTTACCTTCAAAAGGGTTGCCTTCACGAGGGTTACCCTCCACCAGGGTTACTTACCCTCGTAACCCTCACGAGGGTTACGAGGGTTAGTTACCCTCAAAAGGGTTACCTTCACGAGGGTTACCCTCACGAGGGTCACGAGGGTTATGAGAGTTACCCTCACGAGGGTCACGAGAGTTAGCCTCACGAGGGTCACGAGAGTCACCCTCACGAGGGTCACGAGAGATGCCCTCACAAGGGTTACTAGGGTTACCCTCACGAGGGTCACGATGGTTACCCAGGTCACGTGACCCCGGGGGGGGGGTCACGTGATCTGGGGATACCCCCAGGTCACGTGACCCCCCGTTGACGTCATAGCCACTGATGACGTCATCAGTGGCATCACTGATGACGTCACCGGCATCCGCATCGTCATCGTCATCATCACTGATGACGTCATCAGTACGTCACTGATGACGTCACCGGCATCCGCATCGTCATCATCACTGATGGCGTCATCAGTGACGTCACTGATGACGTCATCGGCATCGTCACGTGGCCCCAGGTCACGTGACCCCCCCGACGTCACGTGACGCCCCAAGGTCACGTAACTCCCACAAGGTCACGTGACCCGCAAGGTCACGTGACTTCCCGCCCCCCGAGGTCACTTGACCCACCCCCCCCCCAGTACCCTTCCCTCCTCCTCCTCAAGAGCTGCGCTCTAATTCGGCGTTACAGGGAGTTGTGAACGGCTTTTTTTCTTTTGTCTTCTCCACGAGCGATTGTAGAAAACGAAGTTTCAGTTCCACTGGCTTTTTATCACCGCACTGCTGGTTAGTTTGCGTGCTGTAAAAGTTGAGGACGAAGAGTCAGTAGATCGACTTGTTGGAGGTCAATGATGAAAGCGTTACGAGTGCAAGTCAGTGTACGAATGCATGCCATCAGTCCGATAGTACATAGCCATACTCGGCACAAAACAAGCTATCGAGTAAAAAAAAAAAAAATAGAACGCTCGCAAATTAGGATTGGTAGCATATGACACGCACGATCGTATTGCTGAAGGTTCAGACACCGAGGTCGTCGAATCGTCGGATACTCTCCAGGCTGAAGATGTTTGCCATCTAGAGAGTACGAACTGGTAAGTGTACAGGGTACAAGTAAACGTCGAGCATAAAGTACGTGTTTTGCCTAAAACATGAGCCGAACTTGTTTACTAGGTTCACCGACTCCTCTTTTTCTACCGTTACAGCAACATTAGGCGATGCAAAGCAAACAAAAGAAACACTGTGAGCTTAGATTGCTCGCGGAGATGCGAAAAAAAAAAAAAGAAGAAAAAGATATTACACGCGGTCGCGGTAAGCACGAAGAGTGATACAACTTACGTGACTTTCGGCGATGCCTCCCTGCTGACCGCCCCGACATCTTGCGGTACACTGCTACGTCACAGGGCACTGGCGGGCACTTTGAATTGGCTTCGTATTTCTAATTTTTATTTAAGAAAATCTACGCAACTCGAAAGTGAATTTTTTGTTTTTGTGATATCCTGATCACCATTTTAACGCATAACATAAAATAAAAGAAAAAAAAAAAAAAGGCGGGGGGGGGGGGGGGTGGGGGGTGTCAGAGGCCCTTTAAGAAGCAGTGTGTTTTTGCTGTATTCTCCCCCTCGAAACCACTCATAAAACCTGCAAAGGTTTGCCTTTTCTTCCCCTACCGCCCGTCATGTGCGTTTCCCCTTTCCCTCTCAACCTTTCCGTCTCCGGCGTCCCGGCGAGCTGTCCCTTCCAAATTCTCGACCATACCATAGCCTCCTATGAGGCTATGACCATACACTCCCGCACGCTTCTGGGCTAACAAACGAGTTCCTCCTGTATCTTTGCGGGCTCATTTTGCGGCTTGGTTTGAACCGCCCCTTAATGGGGTACTCAATCGAAACTTAAAATATACCTCTCACGTTCAAAAATAAGTTCAACATGATCAACTCTATCTTCTAATGACAATCGCACGCTTGTATTTCGGACGGATGGTTGTATTTTCTGTTCTAAAGGTTCGATTCTGGCGAGCGCTTCAACATCAGCCATCGAAGAGCGCGGTGCGTCTCGGTATATTCATCGCGCCCGCGCCCGCGAGTTGCCCGTGGCGTCAACGGCCTCCCCATGGCCAAGCGTGCCGTAGTTATCAGCGTTGAGACTTAAGGCTGCGGTACCACGGCAGCCATCTTGAACAAGGCGTTAGTTCAACCAATAGATGGCGACACGCACCCGTGGGGTGTAAAGCCCCTCGATATGTTTTCGTTTGTCTTTGCAAGTAACGCCAAATGCGCGAGCGCACGTGGCCCAGGTCTCGAGCGGCCCTTGGAAGCAAATGGCGGCGCAGCACTGAAATGAGCGGCCCTTGGAAGCGAACGGCGGCGGAGCACCCGCTCGTGCCACGTGTCTTGCGCATTTCCACAACAATGGTTGGCGGTACTTGTGAAAACACCTTTATCAAGGGGCTTGGGTGGCCGAAACATTGGTTCACAGTGGGATGGCTCGAGCACCATCACGTTCCCCTCGTGGCCTTGCTCGCGCCGCTGCCAGCTGTGCTCAGCTAGCTCAAGTAGCGTGGCCCAGCAAACGGATGTATGCGAGAATGTCAGGCTGGGTATTGTTCTCTAATACCCTTGTTACACGGGCACACCTAACGGCAGTTACGCTAAATTACTATTAGCGCACAATACTTGCCGACAACATTCTGCGGCGATGCAGTCAGAGCTATGGGCGAACGTGCGCTTAAGCATCTTGAGCACCCATCAAAGCAGTGCACGCGCTCTCTTCACTTCTTTTGAAATAGCTGTCCGAGGGTATAGTGCGGCATCTGTGCTGCCACGTGCTGCCACGTAACCGCAGTTAAAGCTGAGTTAACCGCCCGTGTAACAGGGGTATTATATAGGGACATGCGGTTCGGCGGTTGTAACGAGCTTTCGCAATAAATCTTACCAAGAAGGAATCAAATGTTGATTGACGTGTCAATATTCTATCAATGAAAATTTCTTCTGCAGGAATGCACGCTCAGTAGACTCAACCTTCCAAGACACCAGTGGAAGC